GGGGAACGGATCTTCATGTAAATCTTATTCTTTATACAAAAATTTAATAAAAATGGATAATGGAATTAAATGTGAAATATAAAGCTTCAAGGAAAAAAATAAGAAAAATCTTTGGGATACAGAGCTATGCAAAGAATTCTTAGACTTAACACCAAAAGTGTAATCCATAAAATGAAATTTGATAAGATGAACTTCATCAAAATATAAAATTTTGCTCTGTGGAAGACTCTGTTAAGGAGATGAAAAGACAAGCTACATAGTGAGAGAAACCACTGCAAACCACATATCTGATAAAGGACTAATTATGTAGAATAGGCAAAGAACTCTCAAAACTCAGCATTAAAAAAAGGAAACACTCTCATTGGAACATGGACAAATGATATGAAAAGACATTTCACTGAAGAAGATATATGGGTGGCAAATAAGCACATGAAAAGATGCTCAACTTCATTAGTCATTAGGAAATGCAAATTAAACCACAATAACATAGCACTACACATACACAGAATGGCTAAAATAAAAAATAGTGACAACAACAAATGCTGGCAAGGATGCTGAGAAACTGCATCACTCATAAATTACTGGTGGGAATGCAAAATGGTAGACACTTGGGAAAACATTTTGGCAGTTTAAAAAAAAAAATTAATCATATAACTACCATACAACCCAGCAATTGCACTCCTGGGCATTTACAGAGAAATGAAAACTTAACGTTCACACAAAAACCTGTACACAAATATCTACAGTAGTTTTATTTGTAATATCTAAAAACTGAAAACAACTCAGATATCCTTCAATGGATGAATGACTAAGCAAACTATGATATCCCAATAGCATGGAATACTACTTAGCAGTGAAAAGGAACAAACTATTGATACATACAACAACTTGGATGAATCTCCAGAGAATTATGCTGAGTGAAAAGAGCCAATCCCAAACATATTATATGATCTCATTTATGTAACATTCTTGAGATGACAAAATTATAGAAATGGAGAACAGAATAGTACTTGCCAGGGATTAAGGAGGGGTTGGGGATAGAGCTACAAAAAGGTAATTGAGGAATCAGCTTATGGAAATGTTTTGTATTTTTACTGTATCAATATTAATAACTTGGCTGTGATACTGTACTATAGTTTTACAAAATGTTACCATTGGAGGAAAGCAGGTAAAGGATACATAAGATTTCTCTGTATTATTTCTTACAATTGCATGATAATCTACAATTATCTCAAAATCAAGTTTAATTTTTAAAAAAGTATTCAAGTGTTCCCTATATGCATAGCACAACTGAAGAAATACAAAGATAAATAAGGTAATCTTTGCACCTGAGATTACAATTTATTGTGGGAAGAAAGATATACACACAAATAACTAAATTACAAGACAAAAAAAATTAATGTCAGTAGTATTTTAAAGAACTATGAGGATAGGAAGCAACTGATTATAATTAGAGCTACAAAACTTGGGACTAATCATACTCGAAATATTAAGAAGAGTATAAACCATCATCAAGCTTTATATAACACTCCTACTGCTAAGGGAACGATTTTGAAATTTAGGAAGGTTATTGGAACAGACTTGGTGCTGGTGTATTATTATTTCAATAAGTTCTGTAATGATTTTTCTGGTATTTCATCTTCATATTGTTTCAGTTGTTACAGCAGCAGGCATTACTTTTCCAATTTGGAAACAATGAGTAAAAAATGTTTTTAAAGAAAAGAATGAAGAAGCATTGTTTGAATTTTTATAGTGAGCATCTACTTCTGAGTCACTTTCATCATTAAAAACTTCTTGCTGAAGGTTGAGTAAGGATATTGTTGATGTGTTGTGAGATTGTTAACCATTGTCATAGGGCAACATTTGTAGTAACTGTTAAATGAGAAACCATTTTGTTCTGTAAGCCTTCATCTTAAGTGAGAATAACAGCACAATTGGAAGAGCGTAGTCAAGTCACTGAACTGTGTATGTAGAAATTTTTGAAATGGT